TATGAAATGAGCTGCTAGAGGAAGTGGTGGAGGCTGGTACAATGACAACATTCAAAAAGGCATCTGGATGGGTACATGAATAGGAAGGGTTTAAGAGGGATGTTGGCCAAATGGAATTAATGTAGAATAATTGGTCAGCATGGACAAGTTGGACCAAAGGGTCTAATGAGTGGTGCCCAGAATGTAACATGGCTGAGGTACAACTCCAGTGTTAGTTGATTATGTCATGATTTTGTTCTTTTCAAAGCTCACCTCACAAACCATTAAACCATATAAAACTTCCCCACATTCAAACTTGTCAGGTACAAAAGTTGTGGGCATCATTGGCGAGTCTAGTATCTGTTGCTATCCAGAGTTGTCCTTGAACTCTGTGACTTACTTGGCCATTACAGCAGATAAGAGTCAAACACACTGCCTGGACCTAAAGTAGGCTAGATAGGGTAAAGCCAGCAGATTACAACAAACGACGATGCCAGCATGGTCACCATTGCTGAGACTATCTTTCAAATCCAGATTGAAAAATTGACTTTAATTCCTTCAACTAGGAGTGTAGAATTTGGACTTTACTCCCACAGCATTAACCTGAACCTTTGGTTATGCTGTTCTAGTGACATCATCACTGCACTACTTTTTCAACACAGGATTATTCATTAGGTGGAATGAACTGCTAGAGAAAGTGGTGCATGCAGGTAGTTACAATATTTAAAAGACATTTGGAAAGATTGAGAGGGATGTGTCAGACAAGCGGGACTGGTTCAGTTTGGGGAGCTTGATCAGCATGGACAAGTTGGACCGTACCATCTGTTTCCATGCTGTAGGACTCAAATTCTTTAGGAGTTTGATAATTTATGCAATTAACAAAATATTACAGATTAAACTAACCCAGCTGGCCTCGACCACTTGCTCTGACAGCTCATTTGCTACACACCACCCTGTGAAAAAGTTACTCCAGTCCTTTTTAAATCTTTCCCCTCTCACTTTAAACCTATGGCCTCTACGTTTCCCAACCCAGTGAACCCTCACTGGAGCACCACCTCTGTCAGTACATCCTTCCTTAAAAAGGACAGAGACTAAAAGGTGTACATAGTATTCCAGATGTGCTCTGACCAACAGTCCAGATAACAGAATGACTGTTACTGCTGTACTCCAATCCCCTCATCATAATGGTTAACATACCCTTTAGCAGGGTAATTGGTTCTTGCATGTTATCCTTCAGCTTTCCCTGCAGCTTACTCTGCCTATCAGCCCACAGATTTTCCCCAACAGCCTGGTGATGGTGCAGGGGGTCTAGGATCTCCGCTTGTTTCTTAAATATCTCCAAAGACTCAGACCCTGTCTCCCTGATGCTCACTCAGTTCCTCTGACACTGTCTGCCTTTTGCTGGGGTATGGTTAAAGATTAAAGCGGGTCCACATCATTTCTCTGGGGCAGCCCATCTCTCAAACTCCCACGATTTAAATTTTTTTTTCTTTAGAAGAAAAGGTATACTATTGAAAATGTTTGAGACAGTCAGCAATTCCTACAGTGAGATCTGGCAGTCATTTCCTACTGTGAACCAGTTCCAACTGATGCACAACAGCACCATCCCACAGTGATGGTTTACAGTTTTGGCAACTTACCAAACCATGATAAGACCGGTCACGTCTTCAGAACAGAATCAATAGCATCATTTATCTGAAAGAGCACAGTGTAACTGGAGACCCATTACAAAATGGCCAAGTTAAATTTAAAAAGGCAAAGTCTCATTATTTCCACTGCTGACAATGGCACCCATTCACGATAGAATATTAATTTGTCTTGTGAATGAGGCATTAAACCAAAGTGAAAATGTAAAAGATCCCAAGACATCATTTTGAAAAACAGCAGATACTTTCATGAACAAGATGAGCAGTGTCTGGATCAATATTCATCCCAGGGGTGCCAGAGATTAATTGATCACAATTCCGTTGCTGATGGTGGGAACTGTTTTGGTGCAAGTTTATTGATTACAAGGCACTTTGGAGAATCATGAACTCATGGAAGACCCTATATGAATGCAACATTCATATACACAACCACAGCAATCCTGTAGCATAGGTCTGCCCCCATTGGGTTTCAGATCTTGAAGTATTAAATTTGAAATGGTTTACAAGTTTGCAATAGTATACAAAAATGCTCTGTGATCACAAAAGATAAATGGTGACACTTGATCATTTGGCGAATTTTACATGACAGCACAGATCGAACAACAGACCTCCTCTCGGAGGAAGGAGACACTGCACTACCAGGATCCTGCCAGATAAGGACATACGCTCCAAGTAAAGTGGAAATACTCAGCACAAACTGCCAGGGTTTGATATACATCACAAGTAGTTCTTGAATTGTTTACAATGAATTGGTGTCCATTAAGAATCGAGTCAAAATTTCACCCAAACCCCATCAAATGCCCATAGTAGTCTCAGCCTCTGGAGAAATGTTTCATTAAAGCATTGTGTTACTAAAGCAGAAAAAATTGTAATCAGTCATTGTTCAAACTGCTCTCTCCAGACAGCCAGATAAGGCCAACCTCCAACAGGATGCTTGCCAATAATTCAAGTAGAAAAACTGAATGCCCTTAAAATTTCCACATGAAAATGTAGAACTATAGTTCTCCCTTGTTAAGTTGCCTTGTCTGCTTCAGATTTTCCTCCTAACTGAATCAGAGTTCTGGGAGGTGAAAGAACAGTTTAAACAACGAAAAATCTCAAGCCTACAGTCAAATCACAGAACAGATTTTTTCATTACTAGAGAAATAACAGCTTGGAAGTGAAGTCTGCTTTAAAGAGGCATGTCATTTATCGAAGTCCCTTTTCCCCAGTAAAAACCTCCCCTTAAGACACAGCCTTCATCCCATCTCAAAGGGATCAAATCCTTCTCAAGTGTGGTCTCATGGAGAGAGTTATTGCTTTCGTACATCCCTTTTCTATTTAATGGAAGAAAGAGTTACAAGATTCACCACAGGGTGGAATGTGGATCAGTGGCGGCAGCGAGTCACTTGGTATGAATTGCACTTATTTTGTGGTCTCACTTACACCTCAGCTATCACAACTCCAGGCCATTCCAAGTCAATTTACAGCCAGGTTTAAAAAAAGCTCAGTTTAGTCATTGTATACAAATTTTCTGCTGTTTCCACAGTGGAGGATAATATTCAGATTTAGTAATGTTTTAGTAATGTTGGTTGGTAGGATAAATAGTAGTCAGGACAGCAGATAAGTCCCTTGCTCTTTGAAATACTATTGCAGATGAAGCCTCATTTGGATGTTTCGAATGAAAGATTACCTATCAGTACCATACCCCCTCAGTAATGTATTGAGGCATCACCTTAGATATTTATACCCCTGTTTGAGGAAAATTTTCAAACCACAGCCTGCCAGCTCATGGATCACACAGCTAAGACTGAGGCATAGTGGACTAGACTAGTAACTTGAGGCCCATGCTATTGCTGTGGATACTGGTTCAAATTCTACCATGGCAGCTGGATGAATTTAAAAGTTTGATTATAGATCTGGGAATTAGTGGTCCTTGTGGTGCAGTAGTAGTGGTACTACCTCTGGACCAGGGAACCCAGGTTCAAGTTCCAGCTGCAGAGTGTCATAGCATTTCTGAACAGGCTAATTAGAAAATACCTAGATCTAGAATTGGAAGCTAGGCTTGGTAATGATGGCCACGAAACTCTGGCTTACTAATGTCTTTTAGGGAAGGAAATTTGACCCCCTTAATTGGTCTGACCTACAAGGAATCACAGCAATACAGTTCATTGCCCTCCGAAATGGCCTAGTTGTCACTGAGCTCAAGGACAACTAGGAATGCTGGCTCTACCTGCGACCACATTTCACCAATGGTTAAATAAAACACTAAGCCATTAAAAATACCAAAGATACCTGAAACATGTATCTCTTCAAATTTTTCAGCTTGAACACATCTTCACTTTCAGTAATTTTCTGGCTACTTTTAGATCTATTTAGATTAGCACCTTTTTGGGGCTTGAATTTGGAAGTTATGACCATCAAGAGACATGAATTCAGCCAATCCACTACAGCAAAAAAATCTGAACAGACAAATGAGAATTCATCAGAAACATCTCCTTGATGCATTTCTCAATACTGTTGATGATGGGTTGTTGCAGGTGTAAGACACCAGGCTGACTGAAAACCCCTTAGACATACCATTCCCAAGTCGTGGCAACAAAAGCAGTCAACAGCAAACATTTGAATCAAAACTGGAAATAACTTTGCTCCTTTGCAGCCAACATTCTTTTTGGGAAACAGGCCAGGGTTTTAGAGCCGAAAGTGGCAACAGACTACACTTGCTTGCTTCAGTTGTTGTTGTAAGAAAGATGTTTGCTGGTCCAGTGTTGCCCTTGGCCAATTCTGACATTTTGAACATTGCCCAGCTCTAATTATTCTACCACTGGTAGCTGTGTTTTCAACTACCTTGGCTATAAAATCTGGTATTCTCTCCCTAAAAACTCTTCCTCTCTCCTCCTTTAAGATGCTTTGTAAAACCTACCTTGATGACCATACCTTCGGTTATGGTCCATTTCATTCCTTCAGCAACTCAGTCTTTGATAATGCTAAAAAAGTGTTGAGATGCTTAGCTACATAAAAATACACTATTCATGCAAATTATTATGCACCCAAGTATCTTCTACCCATTTGTCACTAATTACAAAATGAATTGAAAGCAACCAGTGCGTGCATGAAATGAAAGTGTTTCGTTTCATTTGAGGGAGATGCCTGCATCTATCAGGCACCTTCCAAATGTATTGTGGCTAGGACTGGGAAACACCCAAGCTACATATTATGCTGCTCTATGGAACCATATCAGATAGGGGGCAGCATCAAGTTTTAAAACTTCAGTTTTGTTGAAATTTTCACTGGAATACAGCAAGCATAACCTTCCTGCTTAGGCACTAGTTAATTGCTTGAACAAGGTGTCCAATTTAATCTGAAAATTAACAAAAATGTATACACACAAGCAGCTCCAATTTTCATGCTTTTAATACAAACTTAAAAAAGATCCGGAACATTATAAACTATACAGCTCTGACCTCACCTACAACAAATCTGCAAAAAACATTTTAGCATCAAGCAAGTATTGCACAATGTTCCAAAGTAGAAAATTGGGATATTATTCAGTCTACAATAAAGGAATTATTTGCATCCGCTTTCCTTAACAGAAAATAACCATTCCTTTTGAGAAAGTAAAATGTACATAATTTGAAAAAATCCTGCCATCGTTTTGTCTTTTTCTGAAGCATACAATGTCAATATCTCTTGGTTTTCAATTTTTTTGAAAAAATAATTTGTTGCATATGAAATCTGAAATGAAATTACAATGTACATTAGAAATATATACTCTTAACCTTTACAAACATCTTAAATCATTCAAGCAAAAGGAAACCAAAAGGAAGAAAAGGAAACTTAAAGATTTCGATCAGTTAGTGCCAAATCCATTAAAAATAAAAATAAAACCAAGCAGTGTTTTTAATGTTCAAGTAAAGAAAGCTAACATCTGTATAATACATCAATGAAGAACACTTGGGGGGGGGGGGGGGGGGGGGGGGGGAGGGAGTTAAAAAAAAAATAACATTTCAGTTTCTCTCATCCTCCCCCCTCAAACCTCATGAAATAGGGATGCCAAGTAGTTAGTTATTTAGAAACTAGGCTATTACGCATCTCCGAGTTTACACACATCCCCCTCCCTTGAACATTTTATTCTTTTTCAAGTCAGAAAACTCAGTAGACATCATAACTGGTGTAGCACACAGTTTCACTAGCTCCAAGGTGATTACAAACTCACCATCATTGCCACGAGTCAAAGACCTAGTTGTAACAGCACTCGTCAATGGATTTTTCTCTGCCCTCTAGTCATGAAATCTGAGATACAGGTTCCGAAAAAGTGGGGATTATCACATTTGAAAGCTGCAAACATGGAGGTGGGGGGCAGTTGATCACAAACTGCAGTGCTGCTTACCCTCTTAAGCTGCAAGATCTGGTCAGAAGACACCTCAGGTTTACATGTCAAACCTGCCTCCTCTGGGATGGTGAAACAGCTAAGCTGCCATCATCTTAACCCAATTGAAAACCCTTTGCCCCTAGCAAATTAAGGCTGCCTCTTTCTACTCAGCATACAGTGAATTCATGAGGCACCTCACCTACTTCCCAACATTACTCGCCTTTTGCCGGCCCTCCTGGTGTTTACCTGGGTATCACAGCATCCTTCCACATGACAGGAACATGGAGGAACACTGGAGGAGTCTGAATGCTCGTTGAACATGAATATGCAATGTAGAAATTGTTTTCATTTAGAAAGCCAAGAATTCAAAAAGTGTTCCTAGAAGAACTGAACAGCAAAATTTGCAGTGGTCCTTTTCTTTACCCATCACCAATTCTCACTGCAGCTTCTCCAAACCTCCCCTGCCCCCAACATAGCACACCACTCACCTGCAAAGGGTTTAAAAAAAAAAGCAAAGAGTGAACTGTACTTCATGAAAGATAGCAATACAATCTTGTTTATAAAATGCAGAAACCTATGACCAGATTAGTGTTTAATGCAACCCTTGTTTATAAACTTACACAATTGCTAAATAATTGCCACAAGATATAGGTATGGTAGCATTGCTGCTCACATATTGCACTCCAACAGTTCAGGGTGATGAGGCCAGCAAGCCACTTTGCTCTTGCTGGGAGGGCGGGCGGTGGCAGTAGTTGGGGGGAATAGTTTGGAAAGGAGTAAAAGAGAGAATGTAAGAGATGATCAGTGGATACCAACTCCAGTTTGCAATTCCACCAGTATAGGTTTGCTAACTATTAATACTGCTCAGATTGGAACAAGAGAAATGAGGGGAGAAGAAAACCTGGCAACTACAGGGACAGGCTCAGTGCTACCACATCAGCTTAAAAAGGTCCATTAATGCTGCATCTTACACAGTATCATTAGGTAAAGTTACTATAGCAGTGGGTTCAGTCTTAATATGGGTACATTTAACTGCAGTTGTTAAGCTCAGGATGCATCACTTCTTATGGAATTGTTGGGACAGTAATCAAATGGATTAGACCATATTCAATTTACTGATCCATCCTTGATCCCTTTATTCTATCAGTGGACTTATTCTTGTTCATTAAGTGCATATAAAAAGGCTCAATAAATTTAGGACTGTCACTACAGTTCAAGACCATAAAGAACTTTAAAAGAAAGCATGTAGTCTGACCTTTCAGGTTTCTGTGCAGTACCCACAGTGAGTTGTTTTTTTTGAAAAGTGCTTGCTTTCATTTCAGTGTTTAGGGAAAGGATTCCACACTATAGAACACAAGCCAGGTTGAAGCAGCAGAGCCAGTGATGGTTCAGCAATCAATATTCCCAGTAACATTAATGCTAGGACTACTAGCAAGGTTGGCTTGCTTGCCCATAATTGAGCAACAGGGGTGGGGCTGGCACCCTCACTAACTCAGGTCCTGGGTACAGATCATCAGCACAGCAAATTTCACCAGAGGGCCAAGAAAGAGCCAAATGCCAAAGACCGCCATTTCATCAGTAACAGACTGGAATGGTAGGAAATTTCCTCAAAGTAATAAATGAAAGTAACCCCAGGAATGCTAGCACTTGATTCTGGAATACATCAGCAAGTGTCTCATAAGCAAAGATCTAGGAGTCCAAGGTTACCTGCTCTTGTTTCAGAGTGACACAGGTAGTTTAATGTTTCTTACCCCTTACCCCAAAAAGGCTGTAATCCTGCCTGAAATGTAATACAATGGTATAGGTTACAGCCTCTGAAAGAAAATTAACATTGGACCCAACTATTCCTCCCAGTTCAGCAGCACTGTTTGGTTGCGATATAAAAACCTGCACAACTCCCACAGGGGAAGGGGAAATAAATCAGAGAAGACATTTCTGTTATCTCTAATAGCCTCTAGTACAGCAATACTAGAAAAAGGTCTGAGCAGATTGCTACCTTTGCCAAAAGAGTAGTTTGCAATAAGTGATTTAAAGAACAGCAAGCTGAATGAACCTGGCTCAGGCCTACGAGTCTCTCTCCCAACTTCCCTGCTTCAGTAACATCAGAATGTAGCGTGAAAAACTGGCTTGCAAATACCAAAGTCCAACTCAGAACTTCACCCACCTTAAAACAATTTACTGCAGCTGTTCTAGACATGTTCTCTAAATTTAAAGTGAATCCTTTTGTTTGAAATAAGCTGCTTAGCAGTTTAGTCAGTTGTTTAGGAGGGGTTACAACAAGCAGTCAAGAGCTATTTTGAGGTCCAGAATATTCTTAGTGAATGGAGCACGCCTAGTACCTCTCAGGTTGTAAACAGTTCAAGGTCTCCTGCTTAGATTCACAATACATTTATAAATATTTGCTGTTATGCCAAAGCCCATATTTTTTCCCCATTAGGATCAACTAATCAACTATTCTAACAAAAAACTTTTAATTACAACTGCAGCAAAAATTTAGTCAGCAATGCTCCAAAGCATTGGGGTAAAATATTTAGCAAACTGATCTCATTGCTGCTCATTTCTGGAACTGATGAACCAAGCTGGTCACCCTGGACAATTTAAATATTGCTTGTGTTTCAAGGACAATGCTTGAACTTTAAGTATTCTTTGTTGCTGTAAATTGTAAGAAGGTAGTAAACACTGCTGAACATGTGGTAATGTTTTAACAGTGACTGAACAAGCATTATGATCTTACAATACAGGAACACAAAGGGTTCTGGATAGAATGCTGTATACAGCACATGCAGCTACAGTTGCCTCTGGAGTTCCCTCAACATTCACTACAAAAACAGGTGTGGCAAGTCCCCACCCCTGACATTCCCCAACCTCCCCACAGCAACACCATGTGACACTTCAGTTACAGAATTAGCTGTGACCTAGTTGAAGTGCTGCTGAGAGGTTTGTGAAATCCAGGCTGTAGCAAGCCATCACAACAGACAGTTGAAATGCCCTAACTGGCAAATTCAGGACAAACCTTCTGAAGGGGGTCAGTTTCTTGGGAGTTGTGCATATGACCGAAGGACATTCGACTGCAATGTTTGCAACAAGGACTGCAAACTCACTTGAACTCAACTTTTCCAGTGGAGTGTTGGGTTCAGACCATATGCAAAACAATGACCCCAGACATTTTCCGCTATTCCTTATAGGCTGAAGGAACAGGGGTCCTTGGATTGTCATTTAAATTAGACAGAAGAATGAGAACATAACTTAAGTAGGTAGTCAATACTGGATTTGAAAAACTGAAGGTGGGAAACAGGAATGCTCCAGCAGTGCAGCACCTCAAATAGCCAATGTACAGGACATAACATTTATTTAAAAAAGGTGCTGACAACTGGGAAGGGAGGATGGTAAGAAGATACAATTCTAATTTGGTCACTCTCATCCTTCCTAGGATTAGATCCCACTCATGCGTTGGACACGGACATATGGTGTGAACCTGGTACATCATCATAAACAGCTGAACACAGTAAGAACTAGTTGAGAGGCAGGGCTTTTCAATGGAAAACATGGCTCATGCACCCAATTCCTGACCAGCTTCAGATAAAGTATCACAAAACACACTCCCTGGTTCCAGTTACTCAAATCCAGTGCAGTCTTTGATCTTTTCTCATTTGCCATTTCAGTCGTATCTCAGTTGAGGTGAATGTCTCGGAGCACCCACAACAGAAATTCTTCCTGAGGTTTGGTACTTTCCCCTCACTAGCCAAACATTTGACTCTTTTGGAGGGGGTGGTGACTGATCCATAGACCAAGTGAAGCATCATTCTCTTCACAAGTAGGAAGAGGAACAAACAGCATAGCTCAAATAGCCCAACTGGAAAATGAGAAAGGAGTTTTTTTTTTTTTTTAAAAAAAAAACAAAGTACCCCAAAAGTTCACCAATATCTAGGATGCAAACAAACACCCCATAAAAATCTCTGAAACAGCTTCTTCTGGCACAATAGTTGTTAAGTGCTCACTTCATCAAACTTGCAGCATATTGACATAGAAGGTTCTCAGTAAGATGCAAAGTACTGTAGATCTTCAACGTAGAACTTTAAACCAGCTAGCACAATGCAGTGAAGTATTTTGTCCAAATAGCAGGATCCACAGTACATGCCACAGCTTCACAAGATTTTTTTTGCTAGTTGCCATTGTACAGTAGTAATCCAAATGAGGAGATTAGCATGGACGAAGAACTTCAAAGCCCTTTAACACCAAGATGACCGGTTCTGCTGCAGTTCAGAGCGAGGTGTTCTTTTTGACAACACTTGGAGTTTTAAAAGGAGGGGGAGTGAGGGCAAACAGGAGCAATGTCAAGACTCATTGGACAACCAGTTTGAACCAGTTAAGACATACACTAATTGCATTAAATGCTATTTGGCAGAATTCTGCTTCACCATGAACCTGCCAAACTTAATTGTCAGCCATGGCTTCCCATCCTGTAGCACTATAGCAATAATTTGAAAAAGGGAAATAGTGTGTTCTCCTAACAACCCTGATACAGCTGTTACTACAGTGCAAACTCAAATACAGAAATATTGGCACAGATGTGAGGTAATGCCCCAAATCTAACTACTGCGAAAAATGGATAAGACTGCCAGTTACAAATAGTGACTTTATTTTACTCAAATTTGGAGTATTCCAATATTTCAGTCATCCACTTTTCCTTTAAGAGGAACTTTGGTGCCCTGTTCCGCCCTCCCTCCCAAGTTTGGGGAGGGTGGAATATAGAATTTGACAGGAAAACAAGTTACTATAACTCTAAAACCCACAACTTCCCTATGGATTGTACAGATGTGACGAACAAATTTCAAAAAAATTTGAAAACTTAGGAGATGGTGAACACTGTTTAGAGACTGCAAGTGGGGTTTAGAGGTTAAATGTTAAACTGTTCCCGAAGTGCTCTTCAACTTTAATCTTAGTGTTGGCCTTCTTTGAGTTCTATGTATAGAAAGGATTCTTCACTACATATTTTAGTTAGCCAAGACAACTGGCTGAAATGGCTGGTTAGGATACTGCATGGTGTTCAAGTTCAAGTCAAGTCCTTCGACAAATGGGGCCTTCTCACCCAAGTTGTTGTTATTGTAGATTGGTGGCACCTCAAAGGCATTAGGGAACGGAGCTGGGCCGGAGGATGACTGGTTTTCATTCCCGAAGTACAAGCTCAACGAGCCAGGGTAGACAAATTCCTTGGCATTTGGAGAAAGGGAGGATGGCGGCATCTGGTTGCTTCCAAGGACCAGTGAGTGCATTGATGTGGACAACCCCTTCTGCTTCATCAAACCATTGGTGGGAGAGCGAGCCATTCTCCGGCCTCCAGTTTTCATCTTGGTGGACCCAAATTTGGTGGCAGCAAAGGCTGCAGTGGTGAAAGTGATTGGCTGAGTTGACCTTGGGATGAAGGTGGGGCTTACAGAATTCCCAAAAGAAGGAGAAGGGGAATTAGACAAAGAGTTGCCCTGGTCAGTGATGGGTGTGAAAACCTGGGCCTCTGGGTTAAAGCTGCTCTTTATCTCCTTGTCCAATTCTGCACTATTTTCATTGTCATCCATGTAGAGGACCTTCACAGCTCCTTTCTCACCAATCTGATAGGATACCTCAAAAGGATCAATCCAGAGGCTCAACTCTTGAGGAACATTAGCCCGAATATCTTCAATATCCAACCCACTCCTCTTTGTGGCCTGCTCAACGATGGGGTCCACAGTTTCTCCAATATGGACACACCTGTAACCAGATCCTTTCAGGGGCTTTTCTGGGTACCAGTGGCCCTCATATTTCTGCTTTAGCAACCGCTCCAGCTCCTCCCCAAAGAGGTCTGCACGTCGCCGGGGTAATTTGTTATACAGGTAGGAGATAATGAAATTTAAAGCCACCTTGATCTCCAAATGCATTCTTGATAATATGGCGACCAGGCAAGGCAGTGCAGAAATAGCTTCAAATCTTCACACAACCCCTATACAAAAAAGGGAAAAGCAGCAGTTAGTTCATAAATACTCATACTGTGAATTCTGTTTGCAACTGTTAAACTTCAACAAACTAGTGATTCGGTCAGACTCGCATCCAACCTCAACTCCCAGCCAGGGCACCAGACCAAGTTAAAAATGATGAACGGCAAGTCTATACGTGGGAGATAGAAAATTATGTTGCCCAACTCATTAAATTAGTCACTGGATAACAGAGCAGATCGCTGTCACCATTTCTACCAAGTCTACCCATTGTGCACAACATTTGGAGGGCTAAAGATAGAGGACAGTTACAAAGTTAACAACAGAAAAACAAAGCAGCTGACAGGTACATGAAATATACATTTCTGCACATAGCTGCTGTGGGGAAACTTTAATGGGTGTTCAAACTGCGAAAGGGTTTGCTAGATTAAAGGCGGCAAATGTGTTTCTGGGGCAGCAAAATTGGTTACTCTAGGACATAAAGCAACTGGGAAATGAACCAGAGGTGAAATGAGATTGGTGTTTCATGCAGCAAGAGATGATCTAGGATGCACCTTAATTGGGAAAGGGGGGTTAAAATAAGGGTAGGAGTGTGGGACTAATTGGATGGCTGTCAAAGAGTCTGCACTGTGAGGGGGGGGGGTTGGAGGAATAGCTGACTTCTGCACTGTGTGCTCCTCTAATCCAATCACTGAAGTTATGCAAGGCACTTAAATCACATCAAATTGGCTTCACCACAGCGACAGGCTTGTAATCGCCAATATTTTGCCCTCCTGCTGGGAAGTTCAAAGTGTTTTTTCTGGACTCATTTCTAGTTTGGACAAATTGTACTCCTGGTCATTTAAGTGGTGAAGACATACAATTCAGAAATACAGTTGTATCAAAACACCTGGCAACTGCTAGTGACAGCTCCGCCTAATCAGGAGGCAACACAGTCCTACAGTATGGAAACTGACCCTTTGGTCCAAACAGTCCATGCCAAACAATCCCAAGCTAAAATAGTCCTGACTGCCTGCTCCTATCCTTAAGCAATATTACATTCTCAGAGGGCAAAGTGGAAGCTGAATACTTTGATGCAGAAGGAAAAACAAATTCCTTTGGGGTAAATGATCAAAAAGCTGCTTGTGCCTCTCACAGCAGTGTACTTGGAGAGAGTTGCAAAATTTCAGGGAACAGGCCAAGGCCTTCCTTTCCCAGTTGGAGCAACTTCATTTAAATTCCATATCACATTGATTTATACAGGAACTCATTCAGATTTCAAATATCATCTGCAGAAACTATTCTTAGTCCAAGTGATCAAGTTACCCTCAGCAAATGATTAAGAAAGTAAATTATAAGTTGCATCTTTTTCTTGCAATAGACAGGAGTGGATGGTTACAAAATCTAGGAAGTAAGCTTGCAAAATCTCAGTCGTTTTGCTGTTGCCGGATTGCTGCAGCTGCACACGATAATTTAGGAACTCCCTGCTCAACAAGAAATGCATTTTCCTAATCCAAGCATTACAGATGTTGTGGACTGCAACTGTTTTGCTGCAAGTAATACTTCAATAGGACGATTCAATTACTGGAACATTGAAAAGGTGTTTAAGGTGACATAGTATGGCATTCACCATCTCACTTATACATGTCACTCAATATGGATGATAAGTACGTTTGCCATGTTCCAAAATGCCTCTGCTGAGAGAAGTTGTACCAAGTCTGCTTGCACCTTCCAAGTCCATCTGACTGATGGACGGTTCTTCAGCCCACAGCATCCAGCTTCAAGTAACTTGATTAATTAATGCATGTTGCCAAGTAAGGCAACATGCAATGAGAGATAAGAAGGTGTAAAGCTGGATGAACACAGGCCAGGCAGCAGAGGAGCAGGAAAGCTGACATTTCAGGTCTGGACCTTTCTTCAGAAATAGGGGAGGGGGAGGGGAGGAGGCGATGATGGAAGGTGGATAGAGCAGATAGGTGGAGAGAAGACAGACAGGTCAAGGGAAGTGGGGATTGAGCCAATAAAAGGTGAGTGTTGGTGGGGAGTTGGGATGGGGGTTGGTCAGTCAAGGGAAGGCAGACAGGTCAAGGAGGCAGGGATGGGGCTGGTAGGTAGGTGGTGGGGATGGGGGTTGGTCGTTGGTCAGTGAGGTGGGAGGACCAGATAGGTGGGAGAAAAGACGGACAGATCAAGGAGGCGGGGACAAGCTGGGCTGGTTTTGGGATGAGGTCGGGGGTGGGGAGATTTTGAAGTTTGAGAAGTCCACATTGAGACCATTGGGCTGCAGGGTTCCCAAGCAAAATAGGAGATGCTGTTCCTGCAGCCTTTGGGTGGCTTCGTTGTGGCACTGGAGGTGGCCCAGGTTGGACATGTCGTCCAAGGAGTGGGAGGGGGAGCTGAAGTGGTTTGCGACTGGGAGGTGTTATCGTTTGTCACAAACCAAGCGCAGGTGCTCCACAAAGCGGTCTCCAAGCCTCCGCTTGGTTTCCCCGATGTAGAGGCGGCCATATCGGGAACAGCGGATGCAATATACCACATTAGCAGATGTGCAGGTAAACATCTGTTTAATGTGGAAGGTTTTCTTGGGGCCTGGGATGGGGATGCGGTGTGGGGGTAGGTGGTGTAGGGGCAGGTGTAGCACTTCCTGCGGTTGCAGGGAAAAGTGGAGGAGAGTGTGGAGTGGATAAGGGAGTCATGGAGAGAGCAGTCCCTCCGGAAGGCAGATAAGGGTGGGGAGGGAAAAAATGTCTTTGGTAGTGGGGTCAGATTGCAGGTGGCGGAAGTGTCGGAGGATGATGCTTTGAATCCAGAGGTTGATGGGGTGGTACGGGAGGACGAGGCGGATTGTGTCTTCGTTGTTATTGCGGGAAATGAGAGAGAGATGCAGTCGAGGGCATTTTTGACCACTATGGAGGGGAAATTGCGGTCCTTGAAAAAACAAGCACATCTGGGACGTCCAGGAGTGGAATGCCTCATCTTGGGAGCAGATGCGGCGGAGGCAAAGGAATTGGGACAGGGGATGGCATTCTTGCAGGAAGGTGGTAGAGAGGAGGTGTATTCTAAGTAGCTGTGGGAGTCGGTAAGCTTGAAATAGATGTGGGTTTTCAGGTGGTTGCCAGAGATGGAAACAGAGGGGTCCAGGTGAACTTAAGGTTGGGGTGGAAGGTGTTCGTAAAGTGGATGAACTGTTCAAGCTCCTTGTGGGAGCACGAGGCAGCACTGATACAACGGAGGAAGAGGTGGGGGATGGGGCCAGCGTAGCTGCATAAGAGGGACTGTTCCACGTACCCTACAAAGAGACGGGCATAGCTTGGGGCCATGCGGGTACCCATGGCCACCCCTTTTGCTCCTCCCACCTCACTGACCAACCCCCACCCCCTACCTATCAGCCTCACCCTCACCTCTGACCTGTTTGTCTTCCCTCGACTGACCAACCCCCATCCCAACTCCCCACCTACACTCACCTTTACTGGCTCCGTCCCCGCCTCCTTGACCTGTGTCTCCTCTCCACCTATCTGCTCCTTTATCCAACTTCCATCATTGCCCCCTCCCGTCGATTTATTTCAGAGTCCCCTTCCCCCGTTTCTGAGGGAGGGTCCAGACCCGAAACGTCAGCTTTCCTGCTCCTCTGATGCTGCCTGGCCTGCTGTGTTCATCCAGCTCTACACCTGGTTATCTCAGATTCTCCAGCATCTACAAGTTGAGATAGTAGGAACTGCTGTGGTTCTTTTTCCTGTCCTCCTCCACACATTTCTAACTTGAGAAGCTTTGGCAAGAAAATCTGGGTGCTCATACCAAGTTTATAAAGCTCTATCCTGGTATAGCACCAGGAGAGATAGGAACCAGGGCAGTCAACACACGATAGCACGAGGAAAGGATTGTAAAGGATGATGAAAATTAGAAACATTACAAGAACTGTACAGCAATGCAACGTGATTGCATTTCTTTCAACTACAAGCATTCAGGCAATTCTGAGCTTGGTCATCACATTTTAAGGCTTTACCCAAAAATCTTGAAAGTGTGTTTCAGCTTGCCACTGCAGCCCCCTCAAATATGGAGTTAGATATAGTTCTTAATGCTAAAGGGATCAAAGGATATGGGGAGAAAGCCAGTACAGGGGCCTGAGTTGGATGATGAGCCAGCATACTGAATGGCAGAGCTGGCTCAAAAAAGGGCCAAATGGCTTACTCTGGCTCCTGTTTTCCCTATGATTTCTAGGAAACAGAGCTTTCTCAGTACTACATTAAAATATCCAGATTTACTTTGCAATTAATTTTAAAAATCCTTCACTTATTCACACTCTTACTTTCACAGTGTGCAAGTTTCAAGGAGCTTTATACATACGACCTGGAATGCAATGCTCTACACCAGAAATGAATGTTGTGTGGCTAGTATTTAACATTGACAGTGGAAGATCTGTTAGATCAGCATAATTTACCCTTGCAATGGCTTAGTATTAATAGACTGGATGCAAGCTTAGTGATACAATTGTGCATCAGGGACTACAAAAAAAAAAAAACTGCCTAGCAGTCAGTCATACTCCTACTTTGTACTCAGTCTAATTAGGCATTAAAAACAATGAGGCATATGAATATTGAGCTATTTACCAAGCCTGAGAGCACTCAGGCTCGAAAATATATTACTGCCACTGGCACTACAGTAATGAACAAATAACCACCCAGTTGAATACAACCTGTTAAGTGCTTGCCTTGAAAGCTAAACCCATACACAAGCTGAACTGCACCTATGTGGTGTGCATTTAACAGCAAATAGAATCTAAATATGGGATGGGTCAACACTAGAAATATTCTAACATACTACCCTGCAGATGACATCTTGGCTGAACTGGCAATGTTCATATTCCACGTTGCAAATTAGGTTTTTCTAAAAGAAATCCTTAAATTAAGAACATTTCAACCACTGCTGTGTTTTCAAACATTTAAACTGAGAATAGACATGGAGGCCGCTGCACAAATATTTCTATGCTGCTTAAAATTCCAACAGCAACATCCTTGATACTTCAACATTA